GAGAGAGAGAGAGAGAGAGAGACAGACAGACAGAGGTCCATTCAGGAGAACACAGCAGGAGGATGGAACAAACAACGACCAACTGACCATCCAAGTGTGAGAGAGCCGGAATATGGCAGCGCTCTGGAGGGCGGAGATGACAGCCATTTCTGCATGGAGGTTGTTCAGGTCGTGAAGTTTCTGGAAAGAGAAAAAGAGAGAAAAAATATCAAATTTAACTGTAGTATGAATGAAGCTGTTACAAGTGCCGGTAAACTCTTACAACAAAAAAACAAAACAAACTGCTGTCCATCGTTTCCCCATCAACTGGGAACTACGATCCAACCATTGTGAAAGTATGAGCAATGTCAAACACAAGAGATACTGCGAAGGAAAAGAAAAGGCAAATTATTTGAAAGGAAAGCTTGTGCCGCTGATGCCTCTGTCAAGACGGGCCTTTCGGATGAAGATCCCAGAGTCACACAAGGGCAGAGAACTCCAAAGCTTTTTGTATTAATAAGGTTTTACTGCGCTCGCAACTGCATAAGGTCATACGAGCGCCAAGGGGCGGATGTCAACAGAGAAGTCCAAACTGGGAATCAGGCTTACTCTGCTCTCCTCTCTAGCCTCAACAGCACAAAGTCTGCTTCGACTATCAAGGCATCCCAAAAATAGCAATTCACATGAGAGAGACAAACACACAAAAGAAGTAGAGAAAAAAAATGACGGTAGTAAGGATGAGGAAAGAAAAAGCAGCAGTTCCTGCTACGTTGCTCCGGCACAGTATGAGCATGACATTGATAAACCGGCCCACTTACAATTCTACTGTACATAAGAACATGTAAATATCTCCCCTTTGGGAATGGCCTACAGAAACTTCAGTCAGGAGAACGTCTGAACAACTGAGACTGACTTGTAGTTAACAACATACTAGCCTATGCACAATATCAAAATTCTGCTTCAACAACTTTGTCTCACATTATGATGTTGTGTTTCAGTTTTAGTATTAGTAAAAGTTTTATGGCACTTGCAATACAAAAAAGGTCATCATATAAGTGCCGAAGATTAGAGGTGTTACAAGAGAGTAGTAACAAACACAAAAAAGGAGGAGATAAGAACGATAGATGTTTGATAGGGAAAAAAGGAACTGACCACACTAGAGCACCCGCCGACCATCCACATGACGTTGTGAAGTTTGAAAACAAAATACGAAAACCAAAAATTTTTTTTAAAAACCAAGAAAAAAAACAACCAACAACAAAAAATTCCTGTCATTTAGTTGATATCCTCTTTGCTTACACTTGTAACAGTGTGCACACAGTCATCACTGTCGACGATCTGTCACAACCTCACCATCGCCTACACTCACAACAATTCACTAGTGTATTGGAGAGAATGCCCAACGAAGCCATTCATCGTTTTTGCGTGGACAACGAAAGGCTAACCCGCGGCCACACGGTGTAAGGAAAAATGACGAATGTCAAACAACTTTGCCTTTTCTCAACCTCAACCATGTAGACTTTTGAAACAGGTGAATGAACCATTAAATCAGTACCTCTGCAAAATTCTAGCTCAAAAGAACAACAAATAGAAGAGTTATAAAGTCCTTGGGAAAGGCACTTTGCACAAATTTTCCTCACTTCACCCAGGTGGAAATGGGTACCCGGTTATAGACAGTGAACGATTTTGTCAGTTTGGTAGTGTTTGAGCGCATGAAATCCGCAGCTTGCACTGTATGCTTCCGCTGAAGCCGAGAATGTTTCTGAGTGTTCTCAGAGAGTCTGCTGGGGTAATAATGGTTGTAAAGCGCATAGAGCATGCTCTTGAGCATGGATATGCGCTATATAAATGCAATTATTATAATAAAGTGAGAATGTATTTTGCTGCTTCTGGAGAAAAATTTCCTTGCTACAAGCAGACAGCTTGATGGCGTGGGTGGGAGACAGGGAGAGGGCGGGGACAAACAGGCAGAGAGAGAGAGATGGATTGGACATGTTCTGAGAAGAGAACCAGACTATTGTGAAGACTGCCCTCCACTGGACACCCGAAGGACGTCGCAAAAGGGGCAGACCCTATACGTTCTCATACTACCTCTGACTGTCTAGGGCAGACCCAAAGTAACCTGGAGATGCACAGTAGAGTCTGAAATGAAGTCCTGGAATCATTCGTGGGGAACGCTGACCAAGATGGCCCAAAACAGACAGAGCTGGAGATCCTTTGTTGCTGCCCTAAACGCCAGACGTAACGGGTAGTAAGTAAGTAAGTAAGTAACACAATAATGTTCATTTAGAGCAGGGAAAAGTAAGACAGACACTACACAAAAGAATGAAAGAAAGAAAGAAAGAAAGACAGAAAAGAAGAAGACCCTGAAAGTGTCCCACCCTCCAACATAGGTGTACATAAGTACGTCCTCCTCACCTTGGCAATCTTGATGAAGTGAGCCAGCACCTCCGCCCGTGTCTTGAGGGTCTGGCAGTTCAAGATCTCCTTCTGAACCCAAAAGTTGACCTGCAAGTGGGTGGTGTGAGGGGTCACAAAAGAAAACAAATCTTTTGTCATTTTTGATTCCTTCTTTTCTTTTCATTCTCTCTCTCTCTCTCTCTCTCTCTCTCCATAGACAACACAAACACATACACACTTGCACACACACACACACACACACAAACAGAAAGCATAAATGGAGCACACACACATATACGCACACACCCACACACACTTGCATACACACGCACACACACATACATATACACAAACATACACACACACACACACACACACACACACACAAACAGAAAGCATAAATGGAGCACACACACATATACGCACACACCCACACACACACACACACTTGCATACACACGCACACACACATACATATACACAAACATACATACACACACACACACACAAGTGGGCCACTCACATGGTTGAACCTGCGTGTGAAGGCCACCACATTGGGTGCCTTGATGAGTTTCTCCTTGGTGGTCCAGGCACATGTGGTCAGCTCCTGCAACCACAGCATACATTGTCTTCCATCATTCCATCACACAACGGATAATGATAATATAAATATTAATAATTAATAATAATGATGATAACTTAATACAGTCGTTCAGTTTCAGTAAGAGTTTACGGCACTTGCAACACATTAAGGTCATGTAAGGGCTGAAGATTAGAGGTCATACAAGATCAAGATAGTAACAGACACAAGAGGGGAGATAAGTACAATAGATCTTTGATAGGAAAGAAGGAGCAAACCACACCGGAGCATCCGCCAACCACCCACTAATAGAGTCCAAACTGTCTACGACAGCCATCCATTATCGCAGAAAAAAGTGGCCGTCTTAGACCGGTGGCCTTCTCACACAGTGCCATTATAATATGTAATGACAAAAATGTGAAAGGGGGAAAATGGGAAGTGGCCAAGACAGAAACACAAAGTAACGTATTAGACTCATTTAACAAATAAATCCCCCCCACCCCCTTCCCCTGGGCGTTTGGGGTTTGAACCCCCCTC